GAGAGATTATATGATTGTATGATCCCATTTTCATAACATTCCCAAGTGGCAAAAATACAGACAGGGAAAACAAGTTAGCGTGTGCCAGGTTTTAGTGGTAAGAGGGAAAGGGAGAAAATGTTTGAACATAAAGTGATATAAGAGAGAACTTTGGTGGAACAGTTCTGTGTTTTGATTGAAGTCCTGGTGATGCAAATCTACACGTATGATAAACGGCATAGACATAAGGAATTTCAAGGGACCTTAATAGTCAAAACAATCTTGACAAAGAAGAACAAACCTGGAGGACTCACACTTCCTGACCTTAAAACTTACTACAAATCTATAGCTATCAAAACAGTGTGGTTGTAGCATAAAGACAGGCATACAGACCAACAGGATAGAATAGAAAGCTCAGAAGTTACATTCTCACATATATGGTCAAATGGTTTTTGACTAGGGTTCCAAGACTGTTCAACGAGGAAAAAATAGTTTTTTTCATAAATGGTGTTGGGGAAACTGGATATTCATATGCAAAACAATGAACCTGGCCTCTTACCTTACACTTGAGTCAAACTGGATCAGTCACAAAGGTAAGACATAAAACTATTAGAAGAAAACATAGGAGAAAAGCTTTAAACTTAGCAATGATTTACTAGAATCACCCCCAAAAGCACAGACCACAAAAGAAAAAATAAATTGGACTTTGCCAAAACAAAAAACTTGTGTGCATCCAAAGACACTATTAAGGAAGCGAAAAGAAAGACAATCCACTGAATGGAAGGGAATATTTGCATATCACATATCTGATACAGGATTAATATCCATAATGCATAAAGAACTCCTACATGGAAACAACAATAACAAAACCCCACAAACAATCCATTTCAAAAATGGGCAAAGGACTTAATAGACACTTCTCCAAAGAAGATACACAAATGGCCAAAAAGCACATGAAATATGCTCAGCATCACTAAGCATCACTAATCATTAAGGAAATACAAATCAAAACCACAATGAGATACCACTTTACTTCCATAGTTGTTGTTCAGTTACTAAGTCGTGTCTGACTTTTTGTGACCCCATGAACTGCAGCATGCCAGGCTTCCCTGTCCTTCACTATCTCCTGGAGTTTGCTCAGACTTACATCCATTGAGTCAGTGATGCTATTCAACCATCTCATCTTCTGTTGCCTCCTTCTCCTCTTGACCTCAATTTTTGATGGCTGTTATCAACACACACACACACACACACACACACACACACACACACACACACAACCCCAGAAAATAACTTTCAGCAAGGATGTGGAGAAATCAGAACCTATGTGCATTGCTGGTAGAAATTTAAAATGGTGCAGCCACTATTGAAAATAGTACTGTGATTCCTCAAAACACTAGACATAGAAGTACCATGATCCAGCAATTCCACTTTCAAAACAACTGGGACTCAAACAGATGATTTGCACAATTTTGTTCACAAGAACATTATTGGAAATAGCCAAAAGGCACAGATAGCACAAATGTCCATTGACAGGTGAGAGGATAGACGAAATTTGGTGTATTCATATGACGGAATATTAGCCTGCCTTAAAAGGAAGGAAATTCTGACATATGCTATAACATGATGAACCTTGAAAACATCATGCTTAGTGAAATAAACCAGACACAAAAGGACAAATATATGCTCTAGCTTATATGAGGTACCTAAAAGAGGGAAATTTATAGAAACAGAAAGGAGAATGGTGGTTACTAGGGGCAGGGAGGAGGGGGATATGGGAAGTTCTTGTTTAATGGAGTTTCAGTTTGGTGTGATGAAAATGTTCTGGAGTCGGATATTAATGATGGTGGCACAACAATGTGAATACACTTAGTGCCACTGAGCTGTATACACTTGAATATGGTAAATTTTATATCTATTTCATAACAAAAAAGGCATTCACACACACACACATACACACTTCCCAGTTGCAGTAACCGCATTTCCAATACTAAATAGCCATATGTGGCTAATGGCCACTATGTTAGATATCCTAGGCCTAAAACAAAGTATTTGGGGGCAGGCATATATTTGGTAGGAACATAACAGTAATTTGGTTTTCACATTTAGCTCAAGGATATTAGTTCCATTTTTCCAGCCTTAAAATAATAAAATAATTGTTGTTCAGTTGCTAAGTCATGTCTAACTCTTTGTGACTCCATGGACTGCAGCACGCCAGGCTTCCCTGTCCTTCACCATCTCCTGGAGTTTGCTGAAGCTCATGTCCATTGAGTCGGTGAGGCCATCTAAACATCATCCTTTGTTGTTCCCTTCCCCTGCCTTCAGGCTTTCCCAGCATCAGGGTCTTTTCCAATGGGTCAGCTCTTTGCATCAGGTGGTCAAAGTATTGGAGCGACAGCTTCTGCATCAGTCCTTCCAATGGATATTCAAGGTTGATTTCCTTTAGGATTGACTGCTTTGAGTAAACAGCAAAAGCATACCTACAGGGAGCTCAGTTGTGACCAGCAATGCCCAGTCACCGTACCTGGGAGCCTCCTGGGAACAGGACTGGCCCTTCCTCCTTTTTGTGTGATTTGGGCAAGCCACGTGAGCCCCAGGCTTCAACTCTTGGTGTTTTCTAGATGAGATTACACATCCTTTTACATTGGAGGAGCAAATCGCTCCCTGAACCCAGAGCACCACCTTCCTGTGCCTGGCATAGGAGAGTTTCTGGAAGCCAAACATCTCTAGGAAGGGAGGGAACCACATGGGGAAGATGGGAAGGGATGGGGGGCCAGCTCTGGGAGCCTCAGTTAGTGCTGAGAGGCAATCACCTATAGGAGAGAGGCAGAGGGGGCCACAGGGTAAGGCAGACCAGGAGGGAATGGAACTGGAAGCAATGACCCAAAGGAGAGAAACTGAGGTGAAGGTTATGCCAAAGCCACCAGAATGCAGACTGGGAATCCATTTTTTCCTAACTCATACCCTTGCTTTTTGCAGAAAAATCAGCAAGCAAAGGTAAGATCTAGGGGAACTGAGGGGATAATGGCAGGTCCTCGAGTGAGGGTTAGGGAGGGGTGGGAACCCCATGGACACAGGGGCCTGGCAGGCTATCATCCATGGGGTGGCAAAGAGTTGGACACAACTGAAGCTATTGAGCACGCACACACACTGTAACTGAAGACCAGTGAACCCCCAGTGAACCAAGCATGGGAATGAACCAACCACTGGGAATGGGACTAATCAGGGGCCATGCTCTAACCAATCTGCACAGAGCTCAAGAACTGGGGCGTGGGGGGAGAGGTGGGGGAGTGGGAGAGTGGAGGAAGGGAGCTCTGTCTGCAGAGGCAGCTTCCCAGAGCTGGGCTGAACTTGCTCCGGTCATGCCCGAAGTCATAGCAAACACTAGACACTCTGACAAGGGCTCTATAACTAACAAATCCTGCAAATAAAGAGGGAAAAGAATGCCATTTCCTAATGCTTTCAAGTTCTCACACAGAAGCCAACTCCGCCTGTGGAATAAGATGGAAAGAAAGCCCTGTGCTTTGAATGCGAGCACCAGTGGCCCTCAGCAAGGGAGTGGCTTTTCTCAGGCATTAAAGATGCAGTTAAAAACATTTTTGAAGACACAAATATGTTTCTCCCTCAAATATTCCAAACAACTGTTATGCATGCCCATATGCACACACACTCTCACAAGCCCCTTTGCAGGAGAGGATATATGACATTTAGCATCAGGATTAAATGGCTCTTTGTCTGATAGTGTATGGCACCAGGGGAGATCAGTAAAGATAAACACGTGCTTCTTTCATACCCATTCACCTGGAGGGAGACCAAGGACCACTTTAAAAAGTGGGCGCTTAAAGAAAAGAAAAGGCTGGCCAGGCAGTGGGTGGACTAGGAAGCTGGGACACTGCTCCAGAACAAGGGTTTTCAAAGCCTTTGAGCTCACTTAACAGCACTGTGTGCTGCCATGGGGAACGCTGCAGCTCCCACCCCTTACTTGGGAACCCATCAGCAGGAAGGCAGGGGCTGCAAGGGTGGGTCTGGTCCAGGAAACAGGACTGTGACCACAGGCCAACTCCCCCGTAAGGCCACCAAAGTGTGCTGCCCAGTGCTGCAGCTCTGGAGACACCAACTTGAACTACCCCAAGGACTGCAAGGTGAGGACCGCTGCAGAACACTGAAGTCCAGAGAGCAGAGCGAGGCTGCTCTACTTCCTGTGGAGAAGAACCATGGCTTTGGCAGAAGTGCTGAGCTCAGGGCTGGTGCTACTCATGCAGGGATACAGAGAGCAGGCCTAGTGTGAAAGATAGTCAGGAAAGAGATATGAGTGTCAGAGTGAGGCCTGGATGGTGCCCGTCCAGGAGAAGCATGCTTGCAAAGCTTGGAGGTTACTGTCATGGGGTGAGGGGAGCTGGTTTACAGACCAGCATACTCACACTGAGTATATGCCCCCCACATCCCACACACCATCCCTTCCAGCCAGGGTGAGGAGCAAGCGGCTGCACAAAGGTCGCCACCCCCCACCCCCGACTCCCCAGTCCACTCTAGATGCCCTTTCAGCCTGGGCTCGACCATTGCACCATCCCCTGGAGTGGAGACTTACGTCTTCTTTAATGGGAAAGCTGGGAGGGGATGGAGACAGGAAGACAAAAATAGCCAGAGAAAGAGAAATATGCAAATATTTTCCAGGAAAACACACCCAAACTAAAACCACAATGATCCAGAAAAAGCTAATGCTTGGTTCCCATAAGCTTCAGAATCCCATTTTCCTGACCATCCTAATGCATTCCACCCTCCTCACNGGACACAGAGAGGCAGCTGAGGGGGTGGCTGGGCCCATGTGGGAAGCATCGGCTTGACTATGGAGAAGCCCTGAAAAGTGGGTGAGGAAATTCTCCCACACCCTGGAACCCTGAATTCTCCTCTGCCCCCACCCTGCTCTTCGGCCAGGACTCGTATGAAAATCTCTTGGGATTCCCTTCCAGCCGGGCCGGAGCCTCGCCTTCTTGGCTCTGAGCGTCGCAGCTGACTGTGCTACCTGGGAAGCCCCCTCAGTGGCTGTTTCCCTGCCCCTCAGCAGACAGAGCTCCAGGCAGTGCCACCCCACGACTCACCGTCGGATTGGTGTCATACTTCTCCACAAACTTCCCGTAGTTGTAGTAGTGGAAAGTGGGGTAGCCCTTGACTGCCTCCTGCTGACACAAGTCCTTGTTCTTCTCTTTGACGCAGTCAATAGCGACACAGGCAATCTGCAGGGCGCAAGAAGGGGATGCTCAGCATGGGGTCTCCAGTCTGAGAGCTGAGGCCTGGATCCTCTGTGTGCAGGCTGCACCCGAGGCCCGGATCCTGTGGTTTCTGAGCTCCTCCCCAACAGCAGGGACACGCTGAACCAAAGCACCCCCAGTCCCATGCTCCACTGAGGCCAACAGCACTTGCTTTTAATTCCCCAGGCAGACAGATGAGGAATGCCCTCAGACTACCCTTTACAATCAAGAGTACAATGTAAAGGAAATTAGGACTTGAAAGCATCGAAAACACTACAAGTTTGTGATACTTTCTGTGAGGCACTGTGGGACTTATTCATTCATCAACTAATATTTCCTGAACATCTTTTTGGGGAGGCAGTGTAGTACCAAGGTCAAGAATAAGAGCTTTGAAGTCAAGTTTTCCACATGTAAGTCTTGGCTTGGCTGCATATTAACACTTACGGGAAGTCACTTAGCATCTTCATGCCTCAACATCCTCATCTGTAAAATGGAGATAGTACCAACACCCGGGCTATCAGGACATCCTGAGGACTGAGTGAGATAAGTTGGGGGAGGTGAAGGGCACATGGTCAGAGGTCAGTACACATTAGCTGCTATTAGAGGCACTCCTACTAGCCCGGGACACTGGCTCTCTCCCCAACACGAGCTCAGAATATGGTCAGGGAGCTGGGTAAAGAGGCAAATCCAAGGTATGACAGGAGGTGTGTGGAGGTGCTCCAGGGTGCCAGGATGGCCTGCAAAGGGGTTCAGAAGCACTCTGCAAAGTTTGCACCCTGGGCGGAAAACTGATAGAGAGGGAGAAGTAGATTCCATCCTGGGGAACACATTCCAGAACCCGGGACAGAGTTCAACATGACTAAAGCAAACAGGTTTTGGCCAGAAAGAGATTCCTAAATTGGCCGCTGCCCTCTTCTTGCCCATCTAACAAATTCCACATCCTGGGCAGTCTTTCCTTATTTATTGCTCTTTCCCGACAGGATAGTGTAAAGCAGACATGGGGAACTTTTCTCCTGCCGAGGGTCACAGAGCAGGGAGGGAGAGGAGAGGGTTGATTAACGGCAAGAGCAATCCACAAGCGTTACAGAAGAGTGGTGGCATTGACGAAGCCAAGCCTGCTCTGGATGCTACGAGGACAGTGGTGACCTTGACAAAGTCAGCCATCGAGCGACTGACATTCTTACTACAGGAAGGCAGTACAGACACATAACAAGCGAGATCACCGTGGAGTCCAAAGGATGCCCTGAAGGAACTAAGAGGGTGCTTGGATAGACCACGGCCAGAGGGGCTGCTTTCACCAGGATGGCCAAGGAGGCCTTTCCAAGGAGCTAACATTTGATCTGAGCCATCAGTGATAAGGCAGCCAGTGGCATGAAGGCATGTAAGTCTTGGCTTGGCTGCATATTAACACTTACGGGAAGTCACTTAGCATCTTCATGCCTCAACATCCTCATCTGTAAAATGGAGATAGTACCAACACCCGGGCTATCAGGACATCCTGAGGACTGAGTGAGATAAGTTGGGGGAGGTGAAGGGCACATGGTCAGAGGTCAGTACACGTTAGCTGCTATTAGAGGCACTCCTACTAGCCCGGGACACTGGCTCTGTCCCCAACAGGAGCTCAGAATCTGGTCAGGGAGCTGGGTAAAGAGGCAAATCCAAGGTATGACAGGAGGTGTGTGGAGGTGCTCCAGGGTGCCAGGATGGCCTGCAAAGGGGTTCAGAAGCACTCTGCAAAGTTTGCCCCCTGGGCGGAGAACTGATGGAGGGGGAGAAGTAGATTCCATCCTGGGGAACACATTCCAGAACCCGGGACAGAGTTCAACATGACTAAAGCAAACAGGTTTTGGCCAGAAAGAGATTCCTAAATTGGCTGCTGCCCTCTTCTTGCCCATCTAACAAATTCCACATCCTGGGCAGTTTTTCCTTATTTATTGCTCTTTCCCGACAAGAGAGTGTATAGCAGACATGGGGAACTTTTCTCCTGCTGAGGGTCACAGAGCAGGGAGGGAGAGGAGAGGGTTGATTAATGGCAAGAGCAATCCACAAGCGTTACAGAAGAGTGGTGGCATTGACGAAGCCAAGCCTGCTCTGGATGCTACGAGGACAGTGGTGACCTTGACAAAGTCAGCCATCGAGCGACTGACATTCTTACTACAGGAAGGCAGTACAGACACATAACAAGCGAGATCACCGTGGAGTCCAAAGGATGCCCTGAAGGAACTAAGAGGGTGCTTGGATAGACCACGGCCAGAGGGGCTGCTTTCACCAGGATGGCCAAGGAGGCCTTTCCAAGGAGCTAACATTTGATCTGAGCCATCAGTGATAAGGCAGCCAGTGGCATGAAGGCCTGAGGGAAGAGCACCCAGCTAGGACCAGCCCAGGCCAGGACCCAGGAGAGGAATCGGCGTGGCACCTTGAGGGCCAGAACCACTTAGGAGCCCACACAGAACTACGACTGCACTGGAGGTTTAAAACTGCTGGACAGCCGTGAATCACAGGGTTCTCTGGCTGCTGGTTATTCACACTTGGATGGAGGCCCCCTTTCCAGGCAGGAGAGCCCTGCAGGGCACCAACAGTCATGCTTATTTACCTGTGTCCAGGTAAGCAGGGCTGACAGGCAGTGAAGAGTGAGCCTTGCATTCTGGTTACTAGTCACTTGTCCCCCACTTACCCACCTGCAAGCCCCCTTCTACCTCCTTGGCTACACAGCACTCTATACGATGAGACCTCTTAGAGCAGAGTCTGCAAACTCTGCACACGATCGGTATTTGACTCTCAGTCCTCTTCTGTTTGGCCCACAGGAAATTAAAAAAAAGAGAGAGAGAATCTGACTTAGTTGCCAACCTAGAAAAAGAGCCCAAAGATTTTAATAGGAAGTTTGGCTTTTCAGCTTTTCTTTAAAAGCCAAATCTGAGGGTACTTGCCCTGTATTCCCACCGGCAATATGTGGCCAGGAAAGTGGGGGTAGCTGTCTCCTTCAGGCAGGGTCAGCTTGCTGTCTGTCTGTGTCCATACGTACCAGCAGGCTTCTGAGAATTCCAGCTCATCCTCTAAAGCCCTTCCTAATTTATTTAGGAACATGAGGCAGAGGCTCCTCTGGCTGTCTTCGGGGCTCCATTTCTCAGGGCAGGTGCTGAGCGGCCCGCCCCGTGGGGGCGGTGCACCGGGGCAGCCCTCGTCTAGGGGCTGTTGCTCCCCGGCTAGGCTGTGAAAATGTTTAATGAGCTTTGCTCCAGGCTGCTGCTCTCCCTGCATCTGCTTTAAATTATAAATTTAATTTGTATACATTCCCTGGAGCTGTGGGAAATGTAGTGTATGGTTTTATAAATAGACTAAATAAAAAATGGGTACTTATTCCGAATCCCCTAATATAGCTGCCAGTTACATATACGAAGTGCTTCTTCCAGCTGCAAAGGCTCCTCAGCTCTCAGTCTCTATAGCAGAAGGGGAGACAGGCACGGGCCCTTCAGGAAGTGGCTTAGACTCTCTGGAAAGAAGGCAGCAAATAAACCTCTCCACATCTACCCCAGTGTCACCTAAGCGCTGCCTCCCTCACACCCACTCGAGATTTGCACCAACTCACCCGCAGCACTGAACGTACACTAACTTCTAGATTTGCTCCACGGCAGGTGGCTGTCAGTGTCCTGCAACGTCCTGTCTGTCCAGCACTTGCCAATGGCACCTGCAACTCTCGGCTGAAGGGAGCTATAAGTGAGGCCAGTGATGGAGAGGCTTGAGGACACCTCGCCTGGCTTCCTCGACCTCCAAGGGGGAAGACTTTGTCCCTGCTGAGGTCTCCAGGGACTGAGCCTAGTTAGCCATGCAGTGATTTGCTCATTAACACATCTGCTCTGGCTTCCCTTCCTCCATCCCCTCAACTGCTCCCCAAGACCACCTCCCCAGAAATCCCCTGCACGGGAGTCCAGGCCCCAAGTCCACTTCTGGGAGACCTCTGACCATGCCTATACATTCGGTTCTGATGCTGCCCCTTTCCATCTGGTAGCTTTGGGCGAGTCATTTAACCTCTCTGAGACTCAATCTCCTCATCTGTAAAATGAGAGAGTAATAATACTGAGGTGACTAGACTACTGTGAGGACAACATCACAAAATGCTTTAGAAGTAACGTCAGCAGAAGAGGAGGAGCACTTAGGAACCATCAGACATGTTACCCAGTTTCTTTATCCAGTGAACACCTGCAGAGATTTCAGGTGTCAAGACTGGGGGGGATTCAAGGGCAAATGAGGTCCCTGCCCTCAGGGAGATCTCCCTTCTATGAACTCGAGGGACGATACACAACACACATCACACAGCCAGAGCTACCCTGGCCTCGCCAGCCAATCAGAGAGGGGCCCCCGCTGCCCCAGGGCCTGCTCCTGGGATGACCTTGCACCTGGCCAGGAGCTGTGCTGTACTGCTGACCGCGCCCCCAACCCCGGGCTGGGACACTCTGCTGAGCAGTGAGAGAGGCCCGACTTTGCCAGGCCAGGGGTCAGCCTTCCACTTGAGATCCTGGTCCTCACGGCCACCTCCAGAACGCCTCCTGTTCCAACACTAACAGTGTGCAGCCCTTTCTGCCCGCAGCATGTCAACTGCTAAAGTCCCCAGTAACCTCCTGGGAGGGGGAGGCTCCCCAGCTAAAATATGAGCTGCTTCATGTGGCTTTATTGATTCAGTAAAATAAATCTCTGTAGGAGCTAATATTGACTTTGGCTATGAAAATGGAAGTGAACAACCAACTGCATATTGATTGGGGAAGGAACAGGGACAAGCTTCTGGGTGGGAAAAAAAAATGCAATTCTGGCTCACAGGTGCCAGCATGGGGTGTCAGGAATAATTGGGAGTCAGAAGACCCACTTCTGGCTGTCAGTGACACATTGGGTGTCCCTAGGCAAGAGACACAGCTCCTCCTTTCTGGGCCTTCATCCCTCAGGAGGGGGAGAGGGCTAGTCAGGCCAGTGGTCCCTAAACACCAGCCTATGGTCAGCACAAATTCCTGGAGCCATCCCCCGAGGCTCTGATCTGATAGTTCTAGGATGACACCCAGCAATCATGGCACCGGCGCCCCGGCTGAAAACAGGATGCTTCCTGCTGCTACTGAGAGCCATCTCCAGGAATGCTGGCCTGCAAGCTGCCTGGGACAGAGAAGTGTGTTCCTGAAAATGAGTGAGGGTGATGCCTGGCTTGGAAGGAGAGATAAGGAACAACAGGGAAATAATTCTAGAAAAAGGTCAGCAACATTACTGGCCCAAGTTAAGATAATTAAGCAAAGGCATATTGGTATCTCAGAGAAGGAGGGGGTCACCATGGAAACAAGACCTCTGTGCATCAGCAGAGGGGACGGAGAAGAGAAGGAATAGACCTCAGCTGCCAATGGGGGGCACAGCCAGCCTGGTCTCATGAGGACTGGTGTGATCCCCTCACAGGCCCTAGAGACCTGAGCAGCCAGGGGGCGGGAAGCCCCCACACATAAAATAAATCTCTGCAGGAGCTAATATTGACTTTGGCTATGAAAATGGAAGTGAACAACCAACTGCATATTGATTGGGGAAGGAACAGGGACAAGCTTCTGGGTGGGAAAAAAAAATGCAATTCTGGCTCACAGGTGCCAGCATGGGGTGTCAGGAAGAATTGGGAGTCAGGAGACCCACTTCTGGCTGTCAGTGACACATTGGGTGTCCCTGGGCAGGAGACACAGCTCCTCCTTTCTGGGCCTTCATCCCTCAGGACGGGGAGAGGGCTAGTCAGGCCAGTGGTCCCTAAACACCAGCCTATGGTCAGCACAAATTCCTGGAGCCATCCCCCGAGGCTCTGATCTGATAGTTCTAGGATGACACCCAGCAATCATGGCACCGGCGCCCCGGCTGAAAACAGGATGCTTCCTGCTGCTACTGAGAGCCATCTCCAGGAATGCTGGCCTGCAAGCTGCCTGGGACAGAGAAGTGTGTTCCTGAAAATGAGTGAGGGTGATGCCTGGCTTGGAAGGAGAGATAAGGAACAACAGGGAAATAATTCTAGAAAAAGGTCAGCAACATTACTGGCCCAAGTTAAGATAATTAAGCAAAGGCATATTGGTATCTTAGAGAAGGAGGGGGTCACCATGGAAACGAGACCTCTGTGCATCAGCAGAGGGGACGGAGAAGAGAAGGAATAGCCCTCAGCTGCCAATGGGGGGCACAGCCAGCCTGGTCTCATGAGGACTGGTGTGATCCCCTCACAGGCCCTAGAGACCTGAGCAGCCAGGGGGCGGGAAGCCCCCACACGGGTCACCCTCCTGTGTGCCCAGGGCACCTAGTGTTCTGGGCAAAGAATGATGGGAGCTGTGTGGAGAGACTGCCAGTCAAGCTCTGGTCCTGGGGAGTAAAGGCCTCCCCACACCAATGCACGCCCAGCCCTGCAGGAACGAGCAGCCCGGGCTGTGCTGGAGCGGCCAGACTGGGAGCAGCCACCCTGCTCAGGTCGAGGGTGGCAGAAGTGGGTGGAGGGGTGAGGGAGACAGAAGACAGGAGGCACCTCCCTGCCGTGCCCCTCTCAATGCAAGCCAAGTGGCAGGGAGAGGACATAAGTGTTTGTGGTCCTTATATTCCCTCTTGATGGCGAAGGGTGTCTCAAGGGCACAGGCAGGGCTCGCAGGTGACCATGGGACTTCCTGACTCAGGGAAGGTGTCTGGAGCCTGAGTCCTCCCACATGTGCCTGGCTTCCTCTGACTCACTGTTCCTATACGGCTCTCACCACCCCACCACTGCCACCGTGGGGCCAGTGCAAGGCGATCTCAGCATCTGTATCCCACCTGCCCCGGCTGCGGCTGACAATTCCACATGGAAAAATAAGGCAGAGATGTATCTGACTTTGGGTTTGGGTGTGTGTTAGCATGTTTGGGGGGCATTTCAGGGGACAGGTTCCTATGATGGAGTCCCAGGCTGGGAAGAGTCTTTGAGACCATCTAAACCAGTGCTGCGACTTTAGATGAAGGAAATGTTGAGACCTGGAGAGTCTTACAGCTCACGCAGTTTAGCAGCAGCCCAGATGCACCAGCCTGAGTTCTGGGGTCTTCTCGCTGCCGTGCACCCCCTCAGCCTCGGAGTCTGTCTGGTCTGCTGGAGCTGCCTGGGGCCCCCTCCCGGTGCTCTAAGCCGATCTGCAGCTCTAGCTTGTTAATTTTCTGCTTCATCAGTCAGCAACTGCAGGAGCCTTTCACTTAGGCGGGATGAGGCTCCGTTCCCATGGCCTTGCTCTCCTCCACCTTGGCCGCCTCCAGTTGACTTTTGTGGGATATTTTTATTTGTACTTTTAATTACACAAGTAGTGCATGACTACAAATCCTACCGTAAAAAGATGTGAGCATTAAAAAAGAATGAACAAATGACCCCTTTACCACTCCCTCCTTCAAGGAAGGGCTGTAACGGTTCAGTGTATCCCTTTCAGTCAATTTTGCAGCATAAATGCAGCCAGCTCTATCCTGCCTTCTAAAAAGGATGTCCTGGTTGCCAGAAATCCCTATGTCTCAGCAGAAGCTGCTTGGGGAGGGCAACCTGAACAGAAGGGAGGAAGGTGTAGGCACTGGTGGTAGTGGGAAGCTGGAGGCGGGACAAGAGATGAAGAGGAAGGGTGTCCTTACCTTTCGGTCATCTTTGAAGGCATCAGCAGTGGCAGTAAAGTGTGGAATGACCTTCTTACAGTGCGGGCACCCTGTGTGAGAGGGAAGGAGACAGCACTGCACATGGAGCAGGGCCAGGGGCCAGGAGCCCTGCCTGGAACCTCCAGAGAGGCCTTTCCAGGAGTTTCTCTCCTCCCAACAGACTTCAGGGCCCATCTGATTCCCACCCACTGCACACCCACTGTCAGGGTTCAGGTATCAACCCCACCACTCAAACTCTCCATTGTGTGTCTGCTGTTGGCCCGAGGGCTCTGCAGGAGGCCTGTGCCAGTGTGAGGTTCACTCTTGCCTGGGACCTCCCACTCCATACCCTCCCACCCCACACCCACCCTCAAGGCTGGGGGTGGGGGACACAGACACTGTGGTCTTGCTCTGCAAGCTCCTTGCATGGAGGGCTGCCCTCAGGGTTCAGAAGAGCCTGATCCAGGGTGCAGAGGGAGCTTTTCGGGCTTAGAAGAAAAGGACATGTGCTCTGGCTTCTCGGAGCCTGTTCTGAAGCTCCTTCTTGCGCCCCAGTGACAATGGTGGAGCCTGCCACTTCACGACTGAAAAGGTACATGTGGGAAAGTGGAGGGTGGGAGCAAGCACTCTGCCTGACTCGGGCAGCTCATGCATTGCTGTCGATTCCCACACTGCCCCCAGCCCCCACCCCCAGACCGAGGACCCCTGGTTGTCATGCTGTCCTTCCACTCCTGCCTTAGAGTCCGCCTGAACTCTGGATCCAGGAATGGAAGCGTCGAGGTCAGGCTAAGAGGAAGACAAGCCGCCAGAATCACTGCCGCTTCTCAGGGCTTGGGTTCCCGACCCAGGGACGAGGACCAGAGCTCCAGAGGCCCCAGATGGGACAGTGGCATGTGGGCTGCCCCGAGCCCCTCCGGTTCCAGTGACAGGTCCCCAGTATGGGGCCCACCTGCGTGCGGCCACTTTCTCCTGTCTCAGCAAGTCCGGGACACCATCCTCCAGGAAGGAAGCCGAAGAAACTGCAGGCTGCTCTGGCCCAAATCCACTTTCCCGGCCTTCCCCTCAGCTTTGGTCCTTCAAAATCCAAAACCTACCTCTCCCTACTGCTCTCCACACACTGAACCCAATTGCCAAGAGAACAGAACTGCTTTGAGGGAAGGAATTCCCGGACTGTGGTAATTAATTCTGGTCAAAACACAGGTGGGAGAGGCCAGATGCCCCCTGGGGAGCCCTGGCTCCAGCTAACTTCTTGACCAACAGACGAACCAAGCCTTCCGGCCCTCCCACGGCCTTGGGGAAGCCCAGACAGAGAAAGGAGAAAGCCTGGCTCATCTGCTCTCTCTCTTTTTAAAATAAGGTAATGATAACTGGCATTTCAAAAGGTTTTATGAAACCAAATTAAGGCAGAGCTACAACTTTAATCTGAATTTAGCACCTGAGCTGGTTCCTGTGAACCATATGGTGGGACCACCCATATGGCCTGGCTAGTGGAGTGGCCAGCTGGCCCCAGAGCAGAATGGATGGTGGTGATGGGAGGATTTTCCCAGCGTCCATCACAGGAGTAGAGAAGAGAGCTGGGCTGGTTACAGTTACACCAGGACTGAGACAAAGTACCGAGCACAGCCTAACTCATGGCAGATGCCAATGGCAATTATAGGAACACGGTACTAATTTGACCCAATAGAGGGAAGAAAGGCTCAAATCCATGGAAATATCAATACTACAAAGGAATGATGGTATAGAGCTTTCAAAACATTTAAAGAGCACAATATACTGGTCGAGAGTTCGTCAAAGTGTGCCCTGCAGTACCTAGAGGTCCCCTGTGAGTGGCATGTGAATGCTTGCTAAGACATCAGGTTGGCTAGAAATAAGCTACTCCCTTCCCCTAAACTTGGTATCACTACTAATTTCTCCTTTTTAAGTTCTCTGCTTACTGAAAGCATAAAGGTCACTGTCAGTTTAGTGCAAATTCCTGCTATCATCAATTTAAAGCATCCAGGTCTCAGATTAATGGCCTTCTGCTACATCTCATTTTCTCATTAGCCAAAAGAAAGAGCATGGCAGATGAATAACTAGAGGGGAGGTTGTTTTAGAAAGGGCATGAAGATGTTTCCCAGACATGTCAGGTGGGCCAGAAGAGGCATGATTTTTTAATGTGGGCTCTTTAAAAAGGCACCACCTCTGTGTCACAGGAAACTAAAGCAGCCTCCCAGAGTGGGGAGAGAGGAACAAAGACCAAGGACAGGAGAGAAAACTCCAACTCAGCCAAGCTGGCCTAAGAGGGGCAGTCACCATGACCAGACCATTCAGAGCAAACAGAGGGGCTCTGGAACAGGAGAGAACAATGAAACAGCAGGAGAAAGAGCTGTGTAGAAACTAGGGAGGGAGGATGTGGGGGGAGGTGGGACATGGGGGGACAGGGCAAATGGGTGTTTGCTTTTTACTTTACACCTACCTTTATCAGGTATGTGACCTTTCTGCAGTATTTAGATTCTTTATATACAAATTAAGTATATGTTACAGTCCATGGGGTAGCAAAGAGTCAGACATGACTGAGTGACTAACCCCTTTACTTCACTTCACTATATACTACCTATAGGATAAAGAAGAATATATTATTTTATTGCTATTTTATTGTCAAGAACAAGAAATGCAAAAAGGCAAAATGGTTGTCTGAGGAGGCCTTACAGACAGCTGAGAAAAGAAGAGAAGCTAAAGGCAAAGGAGAAAAGGAAAGATATACCCATTTGAAAGCAAAGTTCCAAAGAATAGCAAGGAGAGATAAGAAAGCCTTCCTCAGTGATCAGTGCAAAGAAACAGAGAAAAACAATAGAATGGGAAAGACTAGAGATCTCTTCAAGAAAATTAGAGATACCAAGGGAACATTTCATGCAAAGATGGGCACAATAAAGGACAGAAATGGTATAGACCTAACAGAAGCAGAAGATATTAAGGAGGTGGTAAGAATACACAGAAGAAATATACAAAAAAGATCTTCATGACCCAGAGAACCACGATGGTGTGATCACTCAACCAGAGCCAGACATCCTGGAAAGTGGGCCTTAGGAAGCATCATTACAAAAACTAGTGGAGGTGATGAAATTCCAGCTGAGCTATTTCAAATCCTAAAAGATGATGTTGTTAAAGTGCTGTACTCAATATGCCAGCAAATCTGGAAAACTCAGAAGTGGCCACAGGACTGGAAAAGGTCAGCTTTCATTCCAATCCCAAAGAAAGGCAAAGACAAAGAATGTTCAAACTACTGCACAATTGTACTCATCTCACACACTAGCAAAGTAAAGCTCAAAATTCTCCAAGCCAGGCTTCAACAGTACGTGAACTGNGCTCCAAAATCACTGTAGATGGTGACTGCAGCCATGAAATTAAAAGATGCTTGCTCCTTGGAAGAAAAGCTATGACAACCTAGACAGCATATTAAAAAGAAGGGACATTACTTTGCCAACAAAGGTCCATCTAGTCCAAGTTATGGTTTTTCCAGGTGTCATGTATGGATGTGAGAGTTGGACTATAAAGAAAGCTGAAACCCAAAAAATTGATTCTTTTTAACTGTGCTGTTGGAGAAGACTCCTGGGAGTCCCTTGGACTGCAAAGAGATCCAACCAGTCCATCCTAAAGGAGATCAGTTCTGGATACACATTGGAAGGACTGATGCTGAGGCTGAAACTCCAATACTTTGGCCATCTGATGTGAAGAACTGACTCCTTGGAAAAGACCGTGATGCTGGGAAAGATTGAAGGCAGAAGAAGAAGGGGACAAGAGAGGATAAGATGGTTGGATGGCATCACCAACTCGGTGGACATGAGTTTCAGCAAGCTCCCGGAGCTGGTGATGGACAGGGAAGCCTGGCATGCTATACAGTCCATTTGGTCGCAAAGAGTTGGACACAACTGAGTGACTGAACAGAAGTGAACTGATTTTATTGCTGAAAACATGTTAAAGATTTTTTTCCATTAGGTAGTTCCCTCCCCCCAGCCCCTGTCCAGTGATGAACACACATCTCAGAGCTTGGAGCAGAGCTCAGGGCAAGACTTGGCAGCAAGGGAGATGGGAAGACTCCAGACACCAAGCCCTCTGCCAGCAGCTGAGTCGCTCAGCAACAGACCCTGCAAGGACCACATTTAGTTATTTCTCTTTGGGATGGACTGTGAAACTTTTGAGGTGGGCAGGGACCAGGCCTCTTTCCCGGGTATCCTGGGTCCCAAACATGAAGCACAAAGCTGTTACTTTAAGGAGGTCATTAGCACCCCAGCAGGGTAGGTGTCCCCACTGAGGTCTTGGGGCAAAGGGAGAGAATTTGGGGAAAGTATTCAGTCTGGACTCTCTCAAGTCCAACCCATGGCTGGTCAAAGACTTTCTCCAGCCAGGTTCTCACCAGGTGCTGGGAAGTAACTACCCTCTGAATCAGGATTGTGACTAAGAGAGGGTAATCAGCCCAGGCCTCGGGAAGGGCTCCATCATCATTAACTTGCTGCCAAGCCTCAGGCAAGTCAGGCATCTCCTGGTCTCAGTGCTGCACCCCCAACTCTGCCTGGAAGGAAGACAGCTTCTCAAGATCCACACAGTCTTCTGGACTTTCTCTCAGGACAGAGGACGACAGAAGGAAGCTCTGTAAGGAACTGAAAGAGTGCAAGGCCCACTTGCAGAGGAAAAGGCACAACCAGAGGAAGCGTCAGCCACAAGAGGGCGGGGTCGGAGGCTAGGCCAGGAGGTCTCTGCCCAGGACAGTGAGAGCTGAGCAGACTTTCCTCACTGGAGAAGAAGGGATGGAAGGCTAGGACTAGACTGAGCCACCTGCTTCTCTACGGAGTGCGCTCCATAGAGCTTTGTTATCCCCATTCCATTACACTAAGCTGTAACCTGGGGGAGAAAGGGCAGAGCAAGAAATTCAAGAGTCTTTCCTTTACGAATCAGTGAACAACTTTAAAATGGGAACACACAAAACTTAAGATCACAAACACCTACATCAGCAGACACATCATTCCCTCAACTTAAGCTTTGATTAAAATGGGGATCCCGGTAGGGAGCTCTGAGCGAATGTGACTGAACTTCCACCACAGCTTCAACCCCATGACTTCAGAGCCATGACCTTCAGAAGGTCAGGGAGAGGAGGCTGGGCTGGCAGTGCTCAGAAAGACAGGAACACAGAGGCCTAATGAGGCGGGCTGAATTCCCAGCTATGAAGTGCCAGGGTTCAAAGGTGAAGTCAATGGCTGGAGGGATGGAGGGAGCCAGAGGTGGGAGAGTCCAGGGACGTGAAGTGGCTGAGTAATCATTAATACAAGGCAGGCCCCAGGCACAGGCAGAAGCAGAGGGCTTTAGGGCTGTTGTGAGAACAGAGCCCAACCCAGCCGGCCCTGAATTCTGAAGGACCTCAGCCAGGAATGAAACTAGAGCCCTGCTCACAACGAAAATGGCCCAGAGTTGGCTTGTGGCTGCCCAGGTCCCTAGGGGATCTTCTCACCCCATCCTTCACCCCTCAGTGAGCGCCCCAGTGACTTACATGGGGCATAGAACATGACCAAGGCGTGCTTCTTCCGCTTCAGGGTCTCCCGGAAGTTGTCCCCAGCCAGATGCAATACGCTGGTCTGCTGCTCTTCCCAGGCAGGGTCTGGGGGTGGGGGAGACTCGGGGCTAAAGGAATCAGAGTGGAGGGGAGACAGTCATTGAGAGAAGTGCTTCCACAACCCCCACAACCCCCAAACACTCAGGGGAGCACATAAGAGAAAATCACTTTGCATCCTTTCCAAAACTGAATTTAAATCCTCAATTTAAACAGGAAGAAATGTAAACTGTCTGCAAATATTCCCTCCAAGGAGCCTCTTAAGAAGCCATTCTGTGAAGGTGTGAAGGACCTGAGCCTGTTTTGGGGATAAGGAGCCTCTCCAGTCACGAATGTGACTGAACTTCCACCACAGCTTCAACCCCATGACTTCAGAGCCATGACCTTCAGAAGGTCAGGGAGAGGAGGCTGGGCTGGCAGTGCTCAGAAAGACAGGAACACAGAGGCCTAATGAGGCGGGCTGAATTCCCAGCTATGAAGTGCCAGGGTTCAAAGGTGAAGTCAATGGCTGGAGGGATGGAGGGAGCCAGAGGTGGGAGAGTCCAGGGACGTGAAGTGGCTGAGTAATCATTAATACAAGGCAGGCCCCAGGCACAGGCAGAAGCAGAGGGCTTTAGGGCTGTTGTGAGAACAGAGCCCAACCCAGCCGGCCCTGAATTCTGAAGGACCTCAGCCAGGAATGAAACTAGAGCCCTGCTCACAGCGAAAATGGCCCAGAGTTGGCTTGTGGCTGCCCAGGTCCCTAGGGGATCTTCTCACCCCATCCTTCACCCCTCAGTGAGCGCCCCAGCGACTTACATGGGGCGTAGAACATGACCAAGGCATGCTTCTTCCGCTTCAGAGTCTCCCGGAAGTTGTCCCCAGCCAGATGCAATACGCTGGTCTGCTGCTCTTCCCAGGCAGGGTCTGGGGGTGGGGGAGACTCGGGGCTAAAGGAATCAGAGTGGAGGGGAGACAGTCATTGAGAGAAGTGCTTCCACAACCCCCACAACCCCCAAACACTCAGGGGAGCACATAAGAGAAAATCACTTTGCATCCTTTCCAAAACTGAATTTAAATCCTCAATTTAAACAGGAAGAAATGTAAACTGTCTGCAAATATTCCCTCCAAGGAGCCTCTTAAGAAGCCATTCTGTGAAGGTGTGAAGGACCTGAGCCTGTTTTGGGGATAAGGAGCCTCTCCAGTCGTCTCCTCGCCCTGGGGAAAACCCCAGCACCCGGGCTCCCTCTTTCCCTCCCTCCTGCCTCTTCTGGTACCCTAAGCACTCCATGATCTTCTGCTCCTGAGCCTTTGTTCTGGTGGAGAGAGCATGGGCCAAAGAGTGAGGTGGGTCTGCATTCAAATCCAGGTTACCAATCACCTACATGACCTTAGGTTAAGTTACCAAACTCTTCTGAGCTTCCATTTTCCTTTCTGTTAAATGAGTACAATGATACCTACTCCCTGGGATCCTTAAGAAGAACAGAGACAAAGTATGTAAAACACCTAGTCGGTCAAGCAACTACCAGTTGCTAAGGGCCTGTAAGCGCACATAAAGGACAGGCATCAGATAAAGGTTCACAGTTTTTCAGTCTGCTTCTGTCCACTGGTTCCCTCCACTCTGCCTCACAGAAGTATAGATCTCCAGGGCCTTTTAAAACCCTTGCTGCCCTTCACCCCCTTCCTACAATCGTGCTTCTCTCTCCCTTCTCTGGTAAGTGGCTCTGGGGAGTGGTCCAGAACCCATGCTGCCACATCCACTCCCTGCCTGCACTTCCTGCTTCTCCTGGTGCCACACGGCTCCTGCCCGCCAGACCTCAGGCCTCGTACCCAGTGAGGTCAGCAGAGTACAGTGCCAGCTGCCTCAAGTTCAGGTTCATCTTTCAGAAGCCCTCCTTCCAGGCACCAGGAGAGCCCCCCCACCACCTTCCCCAAAGCCCCTTCTCTTCTTCTGATTCCATCTCCATGCTCCTTCAATTCTCAAAAGGTTTCATCCATCTGCATGGCTTCCATAACCCCCTAGGCTGAGGATGACTCAAGCTTTGACCTCTCATCCAAGCCCATTTCCAGATGTTCTCCCGGTATTTCCACCTGGAGGCCCAATTGTCACCCCAATCCCAACAAGATTTAGAACTCTTCCCCTTCCTCCACACCTCCCAAAACAGTTTTCTTCCCCACCTTCTTCGTTTGGTTAATGGCACCCCAGCTCTTGTGACTGGCCCCTCCCAGCCTTCCTGTCTTGGCCTGTTCTTTGCCTTCCAGATCCCCTCATACACCCTGGGTTCCTCAACTGACACCACCCACCAACCCTCTGCTCTGCTCTGTCCCGGGATCCTGCCTCCCTGGGCTGGTCTGCTGGTGGGCACATCTTAGTCACCCGATTGGGTCACTCGTGCACAAGCCTGGAGGCACCATCAGCCTCACCCAACACCATCTGCTTGTCCTCCTGCTGGTGGCCTCAGCCCCTCATCACCTCAAAGCATCTGTTGTTAAATTATGCTCTGGCTGGGGGATTCCTTTTGAGCTCCAAAAGAACCACAATTTGTCCTGAGGAAAGGCACCTCACCACTCTGAACCAAGGAAATAGGGATAGGCCTCAGTAGGATCTGAGTATAAAACGGGGCAACAGTTATACAAGCATGCTGCCAAGGCTGGGAGATTCTAGCACGTAGGTGGTGGCACCATCAGTCACAGCACCACATGAGAACTGGCATCAGTAACAAACCAGCTTCCTCTGAGTATTTCTACACACCATGCACAATAATCCAATTTAATTCTCGGAACAAGTCTATGGGAAAAGTATTGTCTCCACTTTACAGATGGGAAACTGGGGCTTAGCAGGGTCAAGTAAATGGCCCAGGGTCATGACCTGAGTGCAGGGTTCTCAGACTCCAAAGCCCATGCTCTTACCCTAGTGCTTTTCAGGTGGTGACTAGGACAGGAATGACAGAGACCTCCCATGCTCATTATCTGTGTCCAGTCCTCTGGACCAAGGATTGGCAATGATCAATCCTCTGGTTGCCCCAGCTCTCTAACCACAGTGCAAGCACCAGGGACCTTATCTGAGCCGCCACCCTGCTCAGTCCTTCCAGGGAACCAGCCCTGGCAGCAGAGCGAGGCCAGAGAGGTAGGTGTGAAGAACAATCTGCCTCCTGCAGCAGAGGACCGGCAGAGAGAGTGTCTCGTTCCTCTTGGAGATGAACCACTGCTCCCTCTGGTCCTAAGACAAGGCCTGGCTACTCTGAGCATCCACCCCTAGTGATCAGCAGGAGACTGGAAGGGCTGAGACCAGGACCTGACCAGTCCACTCACCTCTTGCCAGGAGCCTCTCCTGAACCGAGTGGTAACTTTGCTCCCATTCCATAAGCTGGTGTTTCTCAAAACCCTATCACTGACTGTTTCATTCATATTTTCCGAATCAAAGGTTTAGAATCTGCACTTCAATAAGCACCTCAACACCAGGTAATGTTTACATACATCCAAGCTTGAGGACCAGTGTTCTGACAAAGTAACTGCCCCTGGATGCTGCTATTTTGCACAGTTCTCGCAGCACTGTGTGACTCTCAAGTCTTGGTTCTCACATGGGCATGATTATGGCACATACCAGGGGCCTCTGCAAAGGCTGGAGAGTGTCTTCTTTGACTTTACCTTTCCCTCAGTGCAGAAATGGGGCAGTATTCTCAAATATTCAAGTTATGTATGGGTGCGTGTCTCGGGGGAGGGGTGAGGACAGGAGAAAGCACTTGTGTGGTGGCCCAGTTAGTCCTCTCACAGGAGGGGAAGAGGCTAACAACTGCAGGTTCCAAAGGAAAGGAATAAAGGGTATATGATGAAACCTGGGGCTAGCACACTGGGGAAGGGTGTCCTAATAAAGAAACACATGGCTTCCGGCAGCTGATGCCACCATACCTAGAAAGATTACTGTGACCTGCTGGATGAGGACATGGGATCAGCACACCCAAGGTGCCTTAAGGATTGGGAAGCCCTATCTGTCTTGGCTCCCGGGCCCCGAGCCAAGGTCAGAGGCTCCTAAGTTTACTTCATCTCCTCAAGCCCCTGTCCAGTGGCCGACAGCCAGGGACCACCAGCATGTGCTATCGAGACCATGCGACTCACTTTCGCATCCACTCAATGAAGCTCTTCTTTGTTCTGAGCGCAGGCACTGCATACTTCTCTCCATTCTTAAAATATTTGAGTGTAGGAAACTCGGAGATGTGGAATCGTTCTGCCAGGGCCTTGTTGACGGTGGCATCGACAGCTGCAAGGACACCAGAGCTCTGGGACGGGGGAGAGGCCAACCATGCATGACAGCCTCAGACACGGTGCCGGCAGAAGAAGAGCCCGGACGCCAGCCCCCGCCCACCCTGGGCCTGTCAGAACCTCATGGGGTGGGACTCCATACATCCCAGGAACAACTGGACACTGGCACCAGTCTCATCTGTGGCCTGAGATGAAGCCTTTTTATCGCCCCCATCAACCAGGTGGAGCAGACTGCGGCTGTTCTCAACAGGCAAGGTCCCACAGAAAAAGAACTGTGGGGCTTCATCCCAGAGCCCATGACCTTGGCAGAGGTCACCTGGATGGGTACCTCCAGGTACATTCCTCTGAACCAGACCCCATAGTTTCTGAGTACTGCTCCACCCCTGGTAGGAGCCCCACCTGCTTGACTAAGACACATCTACTCGGGGACAGAGAAATCCTGCAGGACTCCATGGAGCTGAGGAGTTGCTACAGAGTTGCAGGGGAAAGCTGTTCTAATGGTTCCTATTACTGAATGATACCAATTTAGTAGAAAGCAATGGGGGAGGTAAGGAAAGAAAGCTTACCTCTCCTTCTCCGTGGAGGACTTCTGCTGCATTCTCAAACTCTGGCTTCATTTTCTTACAGTGTCCACACCCTGTGGGAAGAAATCAAGAGAAACCATCCCCATGGCATGGAGGCTCCAAGGATGTCCCCTGCCTCCAGAAGACAGCTGGGTCCTAGTACTAGATACCAGGGGTACCTAGGAGAAAAGAATAACAGTACCAGCTCGGAGAAAAGAAAGCTTTTGCCTGATCCACTGGAGGTGGGAGGGGCACAAGAGGCAAAAATGAATCAACTACATCAATAATGCTGGTGATATGTATATAGGTCCCGGGTGCCAGGCACTGCTCTAGGTGACTGTATCTGCATGACAGCCCTACAAGGTCTGAACTATGTTATCTCCATTTTACAGATGAGAAAACTGAGGCACTGAGAGTGTGGATGACTGCCCAAGGTTACATATACAGCCACAGGTCACAGAGCTGGGCTGAAAACCCAAGCAATCTAGCTGGAGCCCATGGCCAGCAGTAGCATGTGCTTCCTAGCACCATGCAGACAGAAGTGAACCGGGCCTTGAACTAAGAATAAGAATTCACAAAAGCAAGAGTATGGGGAAAAAAATCAAGTTCTGACTGTCCCCACAAGGGAGGTGTTATGATATGACAAGCACTTGTTCTTTCCAAACAAATGGCATTTTCTTGGGATAGACTGCTTTGCTTTGCCCTCTTCTCCTTACAACCACTTGAATGCAATAATGTTACAAATAATAACATTTGATACATTAAAAAGGAAGCATCACCTACTTTCTGTAGGTGATAAGAGGACACTTTTAAGTTGCTTTCATTTTAGCAGAAAAAGTATTTTCTAGCATCTTAGCAAAAGGGGCTATGAGGCCAGTAGGACCAGACTGGTTCAGGCTGGGGACCACTCTCAAGGGAAACCTGGCTGGGGTGGGTACACACAGACAAGGCTAAGAGGATACAGGGATGTGACCTGGCCTTCTTGTGGTGTGTGCTACTGCTTGGGAGCTTAGAGCACCATGATTCTACTACTGATTATTGGGAAAAAGAAAGACAAGAAAGGAAGATACACAGAGACCAAGCAACATGCTATTACTAAAAAATCAATAGGCCAATAAAGAATCAAAGAGGCTATTGGAAAATACCGAGACATGGAAACACAACTTTCCAAAATCTATGGGATGCAGAAAAGCAGTTCAAAAATGTATGTTTATAACAATAAAGGGGAACTTCAAGAAACAAGAAAAATCTCAAATAAAGAACCTAATCTGTCATCTAAAGGAATTAGAAAAAGAAGAACAAGCAAACTCAAAGGTCAGTTTAATGAAGGAAATAACAAAATCAGAGAGGAAATAAATAAGACAAAGACCAAGAAAACAATATAAAAGATCAATGAAACCAAGAGTTGGCTTTTTTTAAAAGATAAACAAAATTAATAAACCTTAGACAGGCTCACTAAGGAAAAACGAGGACTCAAATAAATGAAAGAGGAGAAATAACAACCAATTATCAGAGATATGAAAAAAATCTACTATGGTTATACACCAAATCGGACAACCTAGAAAAAAATGAACAAATTTCTAGAAACATAATCTTTGGAGACTGAATCAGGAAGAAATAGGCAATCTGAGCACATTGGTCACTACTAGTGAAGTTGAATTCATAATAAAAAAAAAAAAACTTTCAGCAAACAAAAGTCCAGAACCAGATAGCTCCACAGGGTAATTCTACCAAACATATAAAGAAGAGCTAATATCTAGTCTTCTCAAACTAGCTCCTCAAAATGGAAGAGAATGGAACACTCCCAAATTCATTCTACAAAGCCACCATTACCCTGACACTGATACCAGGTAAAAGCACTACAAACTAACTACAAACTAATTTTATGATGAATATAGATGTAATATGCTCTCTACAAAATATTAGCAAACCAAATTCAACAATATATATAAAGAATCATATAGTATGATCAAGCGGGATTTANGAGGATGAGATGGTTGGATGGCATCACTGACTTAATGGACATGGGTTTGAGTAAACTCCGGGAGTTGGTGATGGACAGGGAGGCCTGGCGTGCTGCAGTCCATGGGGTCGCAAAGAGTCGGACACAACTGAACCACTGAACTGAACTGAACTGATGACAAACTCACAGCTAACATCACACTCAGTGATGAAAGGTTGAAAGCCTTTGTTCTAAAATCAGGAATAAGACAAGGATGCCCACTCTCACCACTTCTATTTAACATAGTACCAGATGTACAAGCCACAGCAATCAGATAACAAAAAGAATTAAAAGTCATCCAAATTGGAAGGGAAGAAATAAAACTGTCACTATTTGTAGATGACATGATACTGTGCATAGTATATCCTAGAGCCCTCACCAAAAAAAACAAGGAAGAAGAAAAAGAAACCAACTAAACAAAAAGTGAATAGAATTAATAAATGAATTCAGTAAAGTTCAGGATATGAGATTAATATACAGAAATCTGTTGCTTTTCATTTGCTAATAATGAGCTATCAGAAAGAGAAAGCAAGAAAACAATCCTGTTTAATATTGCATCAAAAAGCATATAATACCTAGAAATAAATTTAACCACGAAGGTGAATGACCTGAACCAGCAGCAGGAAGTCTACTCAGTAATATTCGAGTATATGTATATACATGAATATTACTCAGCCATAAAAAATCCTGCCATTTGCAACAATGTGGATGGACATAAAGAGTAAAATGTTTAGTAAAATCAGGCAGAGAAAGACAGATCTCAATGTTATCATCTCTATGTGAAATCTCAAAATATAAAATACATATATATATATATATATATATAAGAAAATAGAAACAGATTCACAAGTATAAAGTAGGAATTAGTGATTAACAGTAGGAAGAGGAGAGGACGAAACAGGGATACAGGATTAAGAAATACAAACTACTATGTAAAAAACAGATAAGCAACATGAATGTATTGTACAGCACTGAGAAATAGAGTTATCATTCTGTAATAACTTTAAATGGAGTATAATCATAAAAATATTGAATCACTTGTCTGTTATGCACTCAAAACTAATATAATAGTGTAGATCAGCTACCCTTTAACGAAAAAGAGGTATGTAACATGTAGTACATTCTCTATTTGAATTACTTGCTTTCTGAGTAGTACTTTTAATTTCAGGAATTTGGAGTAATCGCTTCAGTGTTTCTGAAGCATTCTTATAAACTGGATAAGCAACAATTGTTTTTTAAGACAGAAATGCCCTAATTTGCCTAAATTTACTGTTTTTCTTGATGAACACAAATTACTTTCAAATTACTTTGAAGCATACTCATGACATTTTTTTTCCTCTAGTTTGCAACACAGTTTTTTAACATAAGCTATTAGTGGATAATATAAATTTTTTTTTTGGTTTACTGGAACCACAAAGGACACATTCTCTAATATGTGCCACGTTTAACACAACGCTTGTTTGACACATTGTATGGATCAATAAGTGGGCATAATTAAGAAACCAGGCTTAATAATGAGACAAATTAATTTCTATTTTCAATGAAATAATCCAGTTATTTTTGGAAAGCTCTTATTTTATTCACATCAGATTTATAATTAAAATGGTAAATTAACTCTCCAGGCAAGATTTCAGATTTTCATTCTCTTCAAACTCTACAGTTAGAAGAAAAATGAACCAATAATTTCTAACAGAATTTTGAACACACGCCAATGAAAAATGGAATTCATTAAGAAAGACAGTTGCAACAATATAAGGTGTTACTATGGTGTCAATTCAAATAAGAAGTCTAAGGACAGACAAAGTCAGGAATGAAAAACGTGCATTAAAATTGAACATATGAAAACATCTTAGAAATCAAACTTTTGGACCATGTCAACAAAACTAAAGTGAAGACAGTCTCTGTATCTTAATACGAAATGAGATTGCCAGCTCTGATGCATTTTTCCACTTTCTTCCACCATAGTTGCATTAGCATTTCTCACTTACACACCAGTTGCATCGCACAGGTACCACTATCATTTTTCAGAATAAAAATTAAAGCTACTCTGTTGTCCTAGTAAAATATAACAATATCTTGATACTTAGATTGCTTCAAAACAAAACGTTCTAAGACTAGAGCTGAAAATTCCTCTTCATCCTTGTGTGCTGTGATTGGTACATTTTCATAGAATGAACTTGAAATTTAGGAAGATGGCAAAACGTTTTAAAAGGTTCTTGTCTTCTGAAAGCCTCTGTTTTCAAAGGCAATATAATCCCTTAAAAAATATTAATAGGAGTGTCAATAATCTAGAGTTTTGCTGGGTTTGCTAAAACTGATAATTTTTTTTAATTATAGCAAATATAATTTGAGAAAAAGAATTTCTGAAGTTACATTGATTGAGATTCATTATGATGTATAAGAAAATTCATGCTCAGAATCATAACTGCAGGCACTGAAACATCCTTAGCGACTAAAGATACATTTTGGTGTTTGATGCTGTCATGTTGGACTCTTTGCAATGCCATGGACTGCAGCCCACCAGGCTCCTCTGTCCATGGGATTCTCCAGGCAAGAGTACTGGAGTGGGTTGCCATTCCCTTCTCCAGGGATCATCCCGACCCAGGGATCAAATGCAAGTCTCCCCCATTGCAAGCATATTCTTTACCACATAAGCCACCAGGGAAGCCCACTAAGATGAACAGGTACCTTTATATACTTTAGAGAGCTTTTAGTCAAGGCTGAATGAGAGTCACAGTTGCATAATAATCAGTTAACAAGAGAACATCAAGAAAGCAGAGTCTGAATTCCTAAGCATTTCCAGCGTTTGCTTATAGTTGTACTTTTAAAATAGTTAACTGCTTCCTTCCCTTTGTCTAAAATTCTATATATACGTGATTAAAACATATCATCAGATTATAACTAGTAGCAGATGCCAGAATAGGCATCCATCTTTCTCTGAAAATTTCAGACTCATAACTTTTAGAATGAGACAGAAATTTAGTCGATGGTTTCCCAGCCCAACACAAATAAAGCTACCTCTTCTCTGACTGTTCGTGCCCTTGACTTTCCAGTCATTCTCCGTCCTTCACT